TAAACGTGTGCTGAAGCAGTGGTAAACTCCCCTATAAGATGTGTCTGTGACTAGAGGGGGCTTCATTCCGTGTTTCCACCGTGGGAACAACTTAAAACTTACCTTTAAGGAACCAGGAGATTTTACCATAATCCTTGCCCCAATCTGGGATTATTGTTGGCAGTCACAGGCTTTCATTCTGGTTCCAAGCCACTAAATTAATAACAATCCCTGTGCAATCCCTTCCCTTCTCTGGGTGTCCATTCCTTGTATAGCAAAAAACCTTTATGAAAAGATATCCAGAGCTTTTTCCAGACTCATATCCTAATAGAAACAGAGATGTATGGTAGGCCTGTCTTTATCTTGTCTAATCATGTCTGCAGAAGACAGTCTTTAATATTTTTTTCTCTGTCTCTATTAAGGTTTGTGTTTGTGATCTCTTTTTCTCTTTAAAAGGCTGTAGTAACAGGCCACTTGACTTCCTCCCTTCTGATGGTCAGGCTGAACCAACACCCATATTTAGTGGGCTATCAACAGTGTCTCACCTGCATATCCAAATGGTTTTTTTGTAATGATTTTATAACCCTAAGCAATTTAGGGTGGTATGTCCTTCATCTGCCTTTCCAGCGGCCTCGCACTTCCTCCATACCACCCAACCATGCCTATGACAGACACTCCCCAGTTGTGTCTGCCTTTCTCATTACCATCTCTCAGATGCCAGTCCTCTTTTTGGGTCCTCTTCTCTCCCCTAGCCCACTTTGTGACTCCTTTAAAATGAAACAAAGTGGTCTCTTCCTCCAGGGAGTTCAGCCTGGCCCTTCCAGACCACCTGGGTCTCTTCTGTGCCTCGGTGGGTGCTTATGCCCTCAAATGGGCAGTTGTCATACTGACTTGTAACTCTTGACTGACATTTCTCTGGATCCCTGGATGTCCACAGGTAAGGACTGGATTCCTTGGTACCTTCACCCTGGTGCGGTGCCTGGCACAGGGTGTCTCTCAGTTAAGGCATGTTGATTTGGTTTGATTTCATCCTCTCTGGGTGCTCCTGAAAGTAACCTAAAGCAATGTCCTCTCCTATGTTCATGTGGTGACGTGGTGATGACATTTGCCATCTGATCAGAGATGGCACACAGAGAGGCTCTAGAATATGTAGAGAAAGGATGAGACTGGAGGGCAGGTGAATCTCTTTCTGTAACATGATATCAGATACTGAGGTAAAATGCAGCTGATTTATCATTTATGTGATTTCATTCTGAACTGCAGTAATTGCTGCAGGAACGGTCTTGTTCCACAATTCCTTGGCCTTTGACTTTGGATTTCCATAGTTTGTATTCAGAGATCACCTTAACTGCCTAAGAATCTCATTCTAAGTTTATCATGAGACAGCTAGATGAGACGGAATGGGCCAGTGAAAATTTTGCTGTCATAATGTTTCTTAAAAATTGCAAAAGAAAATAATCTTTCAATTTTGTTTACAGAAGAGACTTGTGTGGATATCTTGAATGTATTGTGATACATGGGAAAGGAAGTTGTAGAAATATATCCATAGCTGAAATGGCTGCAGAGGGTCACTGGTTTTGAAAAGTTGACGCTTACTACTTAGTGAGTGTTTCGGTGCCCTCTCCAACTCATGTGAAGTTGCATTTTCCCCTCCTTGCATCATGGGTACCATCCTGCCATGAGTGTGTCCTGATGCTGAGGCAACCATGTGCCTGTGGCATCATTCTCACACACACAAAAATAGGGTAACTCTCTGCAGGTGTTATAGCAGCACCCAGTTACTCATCAGAGTGAATGCAGCGACGCCCTCATTGATACCGCCAGTAAACAACAATGGTGTATGTTCATTTGTTCAAAACACCCTTGCACAAGAGGCCCTTGTCCTCCCAACTTTAGAAGGACACCAGCAGTAGCTTATTGACTAATGATGGAGAAACAGGAAATAGACTTAAGAGACCCTCTCATTAAACATTTTTAGATGAATATTGGGAGGTAGGGAAGGGGTCGAATTAAAGAAAGAACATTTAGTGTTTGTTAAATATTTTCTCTTTTGTCCTGCTTACAGAAAATAAAGTAGCCTGTGAAAATTTTCCCAGAGGTCATGAGCAAACTCATGAAGCTTAACAATTTGTCCATTGTAGCTTTTACTAAGCCCTGGATTTGGAATCTATGGTCTTTGTTCTTGTGTCTGAAAGGCTGCACTTCAGCTGCTGGATTATAGTGCTTAGGTTTACTCTTTGGTGCTCAAATACCTTTCACTGCTGGATTGTTATTCACTGAACTTCTCTTGATGTGTCTGTGAGGTCCCTTCCTGACACACTGAAGAAAGTACATTTGTGAAATATTTCCCCTCGTCTAGTCATGACGTCTCATGTTCCCTGGGCAGTGCATTGTAACTGACTCTAAATAACTACCACTGGGTTTCACGTAGTGTGGTGTACCAGGTGAGTGTGTGCCATTGTCCTGGGTGCCTGTGCAAAGGTTGTCCCACGGCACTGTGTGGATGAGCTTCTGCCGGCAGAAGGTCTCCATGCCACTGGAAAAACATCTCCTCCACACGGAACAGAAGGGTGTAAGATTGCACACCAAGAGGGCATCAGGAGTTCGGCATGAGCCACACATGCCATGGCTAGGAGGAGGCCTGGGACCTCCGTGAGCCCTGGATTCACCATGGGGACTGGGTGCCGGCTGGGTGGTCAACAGGCATCGTCTCAGGTGTCCCTGGGACTGTCTGGTGCCTTTCTTCCTGCCCACCCCTGCCCACAACACCTGGAGAGCAGGCTGAAGAGATGAGGGTCTCACATCCCAACCGGACCATGTGTGACCGGCCTCCAGTGTGTTGAGTTTGCTGCACTTCTTGCCCCTACGTTGTGGCAGGGTGCCCACCACATCATATACTATTTTAAAAACCTGAACTGAAGAGTGAGTAGAGAGTGAATTCTTACTAAAACTATTAGTTCATTAGTGTTGATACAGTGCTTTGTTTTTAGAGATAAATGTTCACAGAGTTTTAAAGTAAAAGCACTTTGCTACCAACAGCCTTTAAGTTATGTCTTGTGTTTTCTGTTCCTTAGTAACTCTTCAGAATGGGGAAGGATTGGGTAGGGAGGAGGGGACCACTGTCAGCATGACATCCCCACCTCTGAGACCTTTAGGTCCCTGAGGGAACCTACCACAAGCGGTTATGTGATTAAGGCATGACAGCACGTGGTCTCTCTTCTCTCGACTCCCACTGGCATGTATTTGAAAGCAGACAGTGGTGGGGCTGGTCTCCATTTGAAAGCAGCTCTGGAGGTCTGTCTTTTACGTTCAGTGTGAACTCCCATTGTCGCATCTTCCTCATTGTGAAGTTTCCGTGTGTTTCCAACATACCCGTCTCCCACTTGTCTCGGTTCTCCCTGGGCTTTAGCAGGTGTCTGCTTGACCCAGGCACACAGGAGTTGAGGAGGCATGACCCTGTTCCTGCCCTTGAGATGCTCACTCTGGGGTCAGCTCGTCCATCCTCAGAAGTGAGCCCCTACGCAGAACCCTCTGCTAGGAAGTCATTTGTAGCTGCTTCTGATGGGATGGCAGCCATTAATGTGCTAAACAAAGCCCAAAACAAGGAATGTCTTTTAAACCACATATCTTAAAAATAGAGTCAGTAAAGGATGCCTTATACCCTCCCAGTCATCCTTGCTTGTCCTGCCAAGCAGTGCATAGTCCTGATGTCCACTTGACCTTGAATCCCCCCAGATGTCCTGCATTGGTAAGTACTTGGCCAAAACCCTCAGCCAGTGAAAATGCCTGGATCCAGCATCCTGGCCCAGTCTTTCTAGAACCTGGGCCCTGCCCTTCACTATTCTGTATTGAGTGTTGGCTTGACAGCCCCTGCCACCCTGGTCAAAGGAAACCACAAGCTTAGCCAAGTAAAGAAAGACATTTACAGAGTCATGGCAGACACCTATCATACCATTGCAGCCGGTGCTGTCTCCTGAACCATAGGGTTCCTGCCAGTGGTGTGATGTGTCAGCCATCCCAGGGCAGGAAGGTGGTCAGGTCCCACGGGAACACGGACACTTCTGGCACCAACAAAACCCTTTCTTTCCTACCGAGCCAGTGTGTGGTCTGTTGTTGTTTTCATCACCAGCAGCTCTTATGCTTTACTCTATAAGAGTTGTAGTAATAGCGTCTGCCTTTGGGGAAGGTATGGCTGTGAGATCTGTGGATGGGATGGGGGATAGAGGAATAGGGAGGGTTAGGTCTTTGGACATGAAGGTGCAACCACCCATGATGTCATCCTGGACATACCGATGGGGTCCCTAGCCTCTGAGAGGCAGGTGAAAATGAAAGCCAGAGAACTCGAGTGGTTGGGAGTCGACAATTCACAGTTAATGCAGAGAGAACACGTGGGGCACCATGTGGAGGGGTGCTGTGTGCAGGGAGGAAGGAGGGTCTGAGAGCCATATGCTGCGGTAGCCACACACCAGACTGATTCCAGTGAGTCCTTCCTAGTGCTGGCTGAGCCCACGCGCTGACCACTGATGGGAACTGAAAGAGGAGAGTTGAGGAACCCTGGGGTGGACACTTGGGTCATCCAGCATAAAGATGGGTGTTGGGGAAGTCTCGGTAGGTGAATGAGAGAAACCTACATCCCCTGGTAACTCTGGGAGGTACTGTGATGGAAATTTAACATAAGAAATTTGTTCTTCCTAAGAGCTGTATATTTTAGTAGCAACACTCACGAAAGGACATTATGATTTTTGTGGGGAATATCATTTAACATTTGAAAATCTGGTTGAGTTTTGTTTAAAAGTTATGGTAGGTTTGTAATTTAGTAGGATTGATAATATTTTACAAATAATACTACTTCAAGGATGAACGCCAATGCTTACGTGTATATGTGTTTTGTTATTTACAGGTTTTTAATCAAGTACCGACTCTACGGAACCAGGGCAGGCTTGTCCCACGGCCTGCTCTGAGGCGCGTGCTGTCTAGTAGGACATTCCATGGGCGCCACTTCCTGTTGCCTTACCGTGCAAGCCCAGAAGATGGGTCGACTGACGAGCCATCTGACTGTGTGCTTCCCACCTGCTGTGCCCTTTTTCATCCTGGTGTCCACCCTGGCCACTGCCAAGAGTGTGACGAACAGCACTTTAAATGGCACGAGCGCGGTCTTGGGCTCTGTGCCCGTCATCATCGCCAGGACCGACCATCTCATCGTCAAGGAGGGGAACAGTGCCTTGATTAACTGCAGTATTGCTGGCATCCCTGACCCGCAGTTCAAGTGGTACAACTCCATGGGCAAGCTGCTGAAGGAGGAGCCAGAGGCGGAGGACAGGGCAGGAGGTAGGCACCCAAGCTATGTCACGTGTCGTGAGATGTAAGCACCCTTGTTGTTTGTTCCCATGCAGGTCATTTAAAGACCTCATGTAGTCATGCTTTGCTAAGGTAGGAGAGTGTGTATTTTTAAGGATTCAAGGCAGTAATGAATCCATCTTTTTCACTTGTTGACACAGAACACAGGGACAAGCATTGATGCCTTTTAAAAGGCCTCTTGGAAGTTTGTAATATAATGCGATCAAACCATTATAGAGGCAAATGTAAAGTGGATTTTCCCTAAGTGTATATTCCAGTTGTGAGAGAGTTTTGTTTTCTTTCACGAAAATGGCTCAAATGAACTATCTAGCAGTTGTTTTTCATTAAATGTCAGTTTAATCCATTGACTGTGGGTTTAAAGACCACACTTGTTAAAAGAAACCTCTGTGCAAGCCCTCAGCCACAGGCTGGGATCATTTTGTGTCCCTGGAGGCCTGGCTGAAGTTTCCAGACTGTGGCTGAAAGGAGGGAGGAGGTAGCCACAGGGATGACACAGGCAGCAGGGAAGAGCCCGAGTTCTTCTGCCCTAGAAGAGTGAATTCCCTACTTACTAAGCATCTGAGACTCCAGCTGGAGGGAGGATCAGGTTTTTGGGAGCCAGTGCCTGTCTGGTGTGAGATGTAATGGGTCATTGTGTGAAAACCCAAACTCATCTGACTTGAAGGAGTTAATCTGCTTTCCTGCAGATTTGTGATGGAGTAGGGGCCAGGGTGGGAGCAAAAACCCATTGTACTGAAGTGGCAGCTCATTCATGGCCTTCTCCTTTCACAGCCCTCAGGCAAGCTTCTGCCCCAGAAAGACTTACTTTCTTAATCTCTTTTCCTCATTTTCTCTTCATTGCTCTGAAAAAGAGCCAAGGCCGCTGCCTTCTGTCTGTAGTTGCTTACTTGTGCCTCCTAGCTGTGCTCTGAGTGGCAGGGCTACTGGCCAGGCTGTGGGGCGCAGGTATGCTGTTGCAACCACCGTTTCCGTTAGCTGAGCAGGATCTCACCACGGGATAAAACTTCCCTTGCATTAGAATGTGATGTGTTATGAATCATGTTTAACCACGGAGTGATGGACCCTTTTACCACCAAGTAAGATTGCGGGACCACAGAAATTTTAAAATAGGTGTTAGGTATCAAAAATCCAAACTCGCAGCGGGGACCTCCAGAATGTTAGGTCAGGCTTGATGGGGTTATCTGGTCTACAATCCAGTGCTGTGCGAAAGATACAAAGAATTGCACAGAAGTTAGGTTGGAAAATAGTTTATTTAGAAAATAAATTAGAGAGAGAGAGAGAGAGGAGATTCACCTCCCCAAGGTAGGGGAGAGAGTCACAACTAGGAAACATGGTGGCCTTAAAGAGCCACCTGGGCTCACCAGAATTTAACAAAACAATGGCAAATGGTTGCTTGAAGTTGAATACTTTTCAATCTTCCCTTTGATTGGGGGCAGGTCTTTAAGGTGATTGGGTGGTGGTCTGTTCCATGTCATCACCATGGGGACAGTAGTAAGCATAGGTACTGACCACACCATGGTGGACAGCAGGCAGATGGGTGAGTTAGTCACATGATCGTTGCCATGATGTTGAGGTCTATGTCATGAAGGTCACAGATTGGGTTAACTTGTTTACAAAACAAGCTGGGGAGGAGATTATGAAGCAATTGTCAATAACTACCTCTAAGAAACCTGTTCTGTCCTGGGCTAACGATTAGAGGGTAAATTAAAGCAAGCTGCCAGAAAAACGTGACAGAGCTAAACAACATTAAAATGGCTGCTCATTGGATGTACCAGTTTCATTTATGTCCTTTCAGAAGGGACTTGAGAGACATGGCATCTCAGCCCCAATTACTAAAGGTTGCCCAAAGTACTGCTATAAGTAAGCAGCTGTGACTACAACCTTCACTGCTGACTGTGGAAAGATTGTAGCACAACACTCTAAATTCATAGTCAGTGTCCTCCCTACAGCCCCTTCCTTCCTCCAGGACCCTAGGTCAGAAGGCAACAGCATCACCCTGTGATGGGACAGCAGTGACCATGGTGATGAAGACTCTCTTCAGGCCTGGACCTAGGATACCAGGGTGACTGGATTCAGAGGAACCAGGATCCAACTTTTATATGGACCCTGGAGCAAAGATGACTCCTGGGTACTAAAGAGTTGGGCCCAGGACACTGGACTCCAGGGTCCTTGAGAGTAAGAGCATCACAGAAATGGCACCATGCTGAGGCCTGATCTTCAGTTGCAGCATCTAGAGTCGCCCCAGAGTAGCAGCTCCTGCTTCCAAGAGGTGTGTGTGCTGTCTTACACAAAGACCCTGTGACTCCTTCTTGGCAAGAGATCCTTCAGCCGTCTACCAAGGGCATTGAGCTAGGTGGTAGGCACGTTTGGCTCAATTTTCTTGTGCCTGTGGGTGCCAGGCAGTCTGAGGTCGTGGTTTGTCTGTCAGTCGTCAACCCCAAGCTGGTGGGAGCCTCAGGGTTTTGGCACCAAGAGCTGCTCTGTCCAGATTCCGTGCTCTCATAATTGTAGCCAGTAGCCTCGCTGATAAGCCAGTTAGCTCTTCCAAATCTTATGAAGAAGCAGTACTTCAGGTTTTTAGAAAGAGCTCATGATACTAGAACTTGATGTTCCGGCTCGGCTCTTGTAATCATAGGACATAATAATAGCAATTTCAGATCATGAGAATATGCAAAGCTTTGTACCTAACCACCAAGCAGCACATAGAGAATAGCAGAGTGTCTGTCCTCATAAAATATTAGAATGTTAGTGTTGGAGCAGATTGTTTGTACACCTGTTGTCTTTAACTTTTCATCTCTGATGGGGAAATACCTGTGTTATAACATGGACATAGATTTTCAGGCCAGCAGCTAGAGTTTAAATGAAGCAGTATTTCATTCACAACTCAAGAGGTAATTGAGTCCAGTATAAAAATGATGCTCATATTCTAGAACCTTGCGTAGGTATACCAGAACTCCTGATAGGACCAAGCTCACAAGGTTCATGTAATTTTCATTAATGACTGCCCTCTTCTAAGCCCCTGCACCACATTGTGCAAGTTATTTCTAACCCTTATGGTAAGCATGACTGTGAGATGTCTTATCCTCATATGCACACAGGGGAAACCAGGTGGATGGGGGATATTGCCCACCCAAGCGTGGCCTGCCACATTCGCCTCCCTCTCTGCCCAACCCGTACTACCCTTAGGTGCTGGCAGGCAGAACATGTGGAAGAGCATTTAACGCAGACTGAGTGAATGACAGGATTTCTAGAGGGAAGAGACAGTGTAACCACCACCAGCACAGTGAGGTAGTGTCAGGACTTGTGCTGTAGTGTGTGTGTGTGTGTATGTGTGTCATGCACACACAGATGTGTTCGGTCACCTGGAAAGGAGCTGCTTCCTCTCTGGTTTACACTGAGGGGTGAGGTCGTAGCTGCTAGCACCAGCCCTTCCCGTGTCTCCTACTGAGACAGGAACAGCAACTGACTTGCATTCTTCCTGTCGCTTGTCATATCCGTGCTGCAGGACCAGGAGAGGCTCCTGTATAATCTCCATCTGGAGGAAGTTTTGGGGTTTTTTTTGTTTGTTTGTTTGATGGTAATTCCCCAAAGAACCTGTTTGGAGTGGTCACCCAATCCTATTAGAGAAACAACTCAGAATTCAGATACTGTGAATGACCACAGATGGCCCTGAAATGTGCTGTTTTCCATTTTCCCTGTGCTGGAAGTGAATGGAAATATAGAGTTGCCAAGAAGTGTCAGGGCAAAGTCCTGATTATTTCAGGTACTAATCAGCCGTGCCTTTTTGCCGTGGCTTCTTACTGCGACTATAGACCATTTAAACACACATGAGCGCCTTTATCAGATGGTAAGTAACATATCCTCCAAGCACATCCGCAGGCTCAAATTCCAACTTTGGGTTGGTTTTGCCTTTTCTGTGCTGTCTCCACACTCTCGTCATGTCCTGTCACCAGAGTAATGAAGCATCTTCCTTAGTGGGGAACATGCCCATGAGTGACCCGGCCAAATTACCCGAGCCCACAGTGGCACACCTGCTGCTAGTGATGGAATTCATAATCGTTAGGTTTGCCTTTGGGTTACAGTGCTTAATGTTTCTGTCTCTATTTTTGGAAAGTCTTCGGCTAGATTGTGATACACTTTCCAACTAGTTCTGCAGGGACGGTAACAGGTTGTGCCGGCCCAGTGCTAGGCGGTCGCTGTCACCTGCCCACTTGATATAGTGTGTATCTCAGGGGTCCGCTCCCACAGCATTGAGTGTAAATTATCCTCTGCCTCTGAGATCCATGTGAAGTAGTGCATTAACCCATAGAAGCATACTGAATTCCTTGTTTAGTACATTAAATACGTGATATTAAAAAACTTATCAAGGCTTTCCTCAGAAAACCTGATTATGTAAGTAATAAATCTTTTCATACCTTTTTTAAAAAAGAAGAAAAAACTTAACAAAAGGCATTAGACACAATTTACTTAGCTATGAATATATTATTGGCAATTCAGAAGACTATAATCTTTGAGCAAGTTCTTTGACTTTTCTGAGTCACAGTTTTCTTGTCTGTAAAATAGAGACCATCCTGTTTTACTCCCAAGTGGGGTTGTGAGTCTTAAATTGCATATTAAATACTCAGCATAGTTCCTGGAACATGCCAAACTCTCAGTAACCTGTGGCTGCTATTATTATGGTTAATATTGTGTTGTATCCTCACAATAATAGATTCCAAATGTTTCAGTCCCTGTTTCTTAATATGGTGTGTTTTGCAAAGAAAGGAAATTGTTTTCTAGGTAACTTCTTAACCCCATGTCAATTTCTCAACCTTTAAAAACTCAATAAATACGAAAGAAATTTATGCCCCTTAAATGTTATTTGAAACATCAAAATAGTGTTGTGACTTCAGTGACAGCAAGTCTGGATCTCACTTTTGTGTACTAAGCCCCTTTGGATTCGACAGGCTTCTAATTCTGAGAAGAGCTGT